GGAGCCTCACACTAGATGCTTCCAGGGCGGGATGCTGATAGGAGAGAGAGACTTCAAGCCCTAAGCTATGAATCCCATTTATAAGAGCTGGACACAGTCCTACCAGCCTCAAAGGGCAATTGTGCCCACTTGGCCATTGCTCATTATGAGTCCAAAATAACTCTTCACTTTTGAGGGTACCCATGGTCCTGGGAGACCAGATCAGTCTAGAGCCAGATGAGGGACCTCCCCCTTCTCCAAGACATGATACAACGTAGTGTAAGGATTAAGTAGATAGCACATTATTGCTTAACTACTTGTGACACTCTTTCATTTCTGGAGTTCCAGGAGGCTGGAAGATTTAAGTGAGGTGCAGAGGTGCTTCTGGTCATCTGTAGGGGTAGGGTAACTAACCTGCCCAGCAAGGAGAAAGAGGGATTTCAAGCCAACAAGGAAAAAAAAATGAGAGAAAAGGAAAAGAAAAAGAAGGCCAACAAGACACGTCTGGGTTTGGACAGAGCTCCTAAGTACCTTTCAAATGTTTGCGCAGTGCCACCAGAGGATGCTCTAAATGTCCTCCCTGGCTTCCAAAATGGTCCCCGACTGTTGAATCACTAGGAGGGCAGTACAGTGGAAAGGAATGTGCCTGCAATAAGAAAGATATCCACAGAAGCAGAAAGCAAGTGAACAGGTGAATATTGGAGGGTCTCCAGCCCACACATACACCAACATTCTGACGAGGCAATTGTTTTGCCTCTGTGGTGCAGGAGGAATGGTCCACACATGGCATCTTAGGGTAAGATCCTGCATTATTTTGTACCCCAATTCCACACTCACTAGGCAAACTTGACTTGCTTTCCAGAGTTATCAGATATTGAAGACCGAGTAGTTTCCCACAAGAAAAAGGCTTCTCTTTCCCCACTCCCAGAAAATCAGTGCATTAGCATTTTGGCAAATATGTCTATTCTGTGATGCTGGTCAATGTCCACTGGTCCCTAAGAGCTCAGCAACCCTGAGTGGACTGAGGCCACTTGATTTTCACCTTGGTCCATGATGACTGAACTTGCTTGCTGCCTCTGAGAAGTCCTGGTAGCAACTGGCTGTGGTTTCAGAATAATGTTCAGAATTTCTTTTCTTCATAGCTGAAAGGTAGATCTGATGTTAAATTACCACACACCTTGAGCAAGTCATTGGCCCCAGTTTTCTGATATGCAACTGAACTGGCCAGAAGTGACCATCTTCTTGAGCCTGTGCAGCTGTGACAGCATTTCCCTCTTCTACCTGAGGTAGACGCTGGCAGTGTCTTCTGGTTGGTAGAAAGGAGTAGCAGGGAGAGAAATGGCCAGTGACAGACAGGTAACAAGCACATGGGAATGAAATCAGGGCTCCTCTTCAAATGACTGTACAGGGTTATTCAGGAATGATGGGATGGATCTGTCATGTGTACTTCTTTGCTATATCTGGCAGTGTTTGCTAAAAAGTACCGCACAATGTAACGTTCTGAGTTATGCTGAAAAACTTTGGGAGTAATAAGAATAGAAAATTAAAGACATATTTCAGGGCTGGGGATGCAGCTCAGTGTTACAGCATGTGCTTAGCATGTACTAGTCCCTGGGCTCAATCCCAACAGTATTAATCAACTGCACCTCATAATTTCCTAAATGCATTGGCATTCCTCACCTCTGAGCCCACCAAGCTGTGAGGTGACACCATTCCTCCATGTTTTAGCTAAGGACAGTGAAGCCATAGGTTGAGGCTTGAAAAGTTAGGTCTGGCACTGACCCCAAATGTAACAAGAAGACAAAGACAGGAAGAAGCAGGTGAACCAATGGCAGACCTCAAGTCTACCCAGAAATGACACCCTCCATGTGGTCATAGAGATGGGCAGGAAATGAGCATAGTCTTTTGGGGTTAAATAAATTAGTATATATTAAAGTATTAAGATGAAAATAGTTTATGTGTTGCTGAACAATGTTAATAACTGAATTTCTTATATAACAAGAAAAAGAATTATATAAAGAACCAGAAAATGAAATCTAACAATTTGCTTTTTGTAATTTACAGGTATAGTAAAATATATACACAAATTTAAAAAATAAAATTCTGAGCTAAACTCTATATTGCAAATGCAAATTCAAGAAAAGCAAGAGGCTTCAATAATCATATTTGAGAAAGAAAAGTTTAAGTTAGATGCATTAAAAGAGGCAAAGAGGGTAGTAAAAGGCACAGTTTTCTAGTATATCACTACTGAATAGATATGCCCCAAATATCAAATTTATTAGTCATTTATACCCTGCCTATTTCTCAAAAAAGATTTGAGAAAACTGCACCACTAACATAGCAACAACACATGTAAAAGAGAAATAGAAATTAAAAGTGAAATAGAAGCAGGGCATGGTGGCCTATAACCCCAGCTACTCAGGAAGAAGAGGCAGAAAGATGACTTAATCCCAGGAGTTTGAAGCCAACCTGGGAAACACAATCAGACCATGTCTCAAAAAAAATAATAAAACAAAATAATAAAAAATTAAAAGTGAAGTAGAAATACACAAAAAGGAGAACATATCAAAACCAGATTGAGTAAATGTTTTGGAATCATGGAGCCCTTTCAAAATATAATGACTGCTACAGGCCCCTTCCCTACACAAATCCACACAGCTTACTCCATACCTAGGGAAGCCTCTAAAGCCCCTGCGTGCTCAGTCCCAGCAGTTCTTGGAGGTCAGATTTAAAACTCTGACATAAATGAATATGAATTTGAATAAAATAACAAAAACTGAATGAAAAAATAGAACTAATGGAATAAAAACCTACTTTTGAGAGTATACATTGTTTTATGTTTTATAAAATGATAACATATTCTGGTCTAAAGAAAGTCTACCGGACACTTTAGAAATGTTGACACCACAGTACAATAAGGAACAACGACCTAAGCATTCATCACTTGGAAATATTAATAACACTTAGGCCAAGAGAAAATTCCCAATAGTATAACAAAAAAAATACCACATCTCAAAACTTATGAGAATATACAAAGCTGTAACTCAAAGGGAAAAAAAGTAGGCAGCAAAGTGCCTATATTTACTAGCAATACTAAAAATATGACTAGCCATATGTAAGTAATTTATCTTGCAGTTGGAAAGTGTTAAGCGAGAGATAATACATATACTTTGACAAAACATTTAGATAAGTAATAAAAAAATCAAGAGTTTCATAACACTCAAGAATAATTAAGTAAATCACTGCAAAAAAAATAAGATGATAAAAAAACAAAAGCAAACAACTCACTTACAAGATGCTTAAAATTTGACCAGGGACCATTTACACTGAGAATCTAAATGAGATTTTTTAAATATATAATAAAACAGTGAAAGAATTTAAACAGAAAAAAATTAGGCTCTGCTCATACTTTCAAAAAAGGAAAGCACCTGGTCCTACAAGGTTTATGTAAGAACCTGTTAACAGTTGTTGAGGGAGGTTGTCTTAATTCTCAGAAAGAAGAAGGAGGGAGAAGACAGAAAGTGCATATTCCAAAATGTGAGAACATCATAAAGTGAATTATGGGAAGTCAGGTGTGAATTAGAGAGGGCACCCAGCAGGGGCAGCCTGAACTCCACGTGGCTTATTCAGGAGGGGTAAACCAGACTGGCTCAACCAAGCATGTAGAACAGAAAAGCTCCTGAAAGTAAGCTTTAAGGAAAGTGGTGACATTTGCAAAGTGATGCTGTAAAAGTCAATTTGGCCTGGCATGGTTGTGCACATCAGTAATCCCAGCTACTCAGGAGGCCAAGGCAAGAAGTTCAAGAGTTCAAGGTCGGCCTGGGCAAAGTCAGGAAAACTCATCTCAAAAACAAAATGAAAACAAAAGGGCTGAGGGACATAGCTCAAGTGGTAGAGTGCCTGCCTGGCAAGTGTGAAGCCCTGGGTTCAATCCCCAGTACCGAAAAAAAAAATTAATTTGGCTGGAGTATACGGAAAGGTTAGGGAGGGACGGACCCAAGGTATGTGACAGATGCTTGCTGAATTAGGACAAGTCTGGCCAATGATGAAGTAGAATGGGGGGGGGGGACATGTTAAAAAGAGGTAGTTCTTTCAGGAAGCCTGTCTGATGCCACCTGCTGTCCCAGCTGTGTCTCAACATGTTCTTCACTCCTGATAAATGACTGAAGACTCTGGGTATTAGTTGACTGCAGATAGTGGCCAGGGCCACCTGTCAGGCCCTGGGTCTCAGTGGTCCAGCTGCCCGTACAGTGGACTCTGGGGGACACAGGGCACTGTAATCTTTCCAACTCAACATATACATTGTTCAAAACCTCTGATTTACCAAGCCCCGCTTACTAAGGAGCAAATATGGCTTTCCCATGTTTATTCATCCAAACTATATATAAATGCCATGCTGAAATAACCAGCAGCATCATGATGAGTTCATGTGATTCCAGCCATAAACTTCAAAACAGCCCAGGCTGCCTCCTTCACTAGCTCTGGGGGTGGGGGTGCTACATTAAAGAGACTCCCATGGGGCAGGGGTCCAGCTAGGTGGCAGAGTGATTGCTCAGACTGTGTGAGGTCCTGGGTCCCACCCACAGTACAACAAAAAAAGAGTGTCCGGGCCTGAGACAGCAACCCTCACTGCCTAAACCCACACCCAAGGCCACATGAGCTGGGGACTGAGGGGGAATAGCCTTCAAGCTCTGCTCCATCAGTGAGCAAGCTGACACTGGAGGCTACCAGGGCTGCATGAAAGCCCAGTGCAGAGCTCACAGCTGGGCCATGTACTACACACACCTTATAATCAGAAACACACCAGTCAGGGCCCAATCCTGGGGAAGCTAATTGAACTGGTCCAGTGAGACATGGGCAATGGCACTTTTAAAACAACCCTCAGTCTATTTAAAACAACTGGTTGGCAGGAGGGGAGGACAGAAACCAGGAGCTTCCTACAGGAGGCTCTGGAGATCATCCAGGAAGAAGTATACATGGGTCACTTCTCTGATCCGCCTCTAGGTGGTGCAGGTGTCACTCAGGAGCTCCATCCTCAACCACTATTTGTGATTGTTAGTTGCCAAAACACTTTTGAGTGTGACAACATTCTGAATGGGAGCCTCACACCAGCCCTTGAGGTATATGGCCTGGACCCGTCCTCACACAGGGAAATGGAGGTTATGGGACTTGCTCAAAGTCACTATGTAGGAGGGGCAGACTTGAATCTAGACATTCTGATTGAATCACAGCCTCCTCCTCCAATCACCTGCTGTCCACATCCCAACACTGGTGAGCAAAGAAAGGAGGCTGCATAACCACCAGACTGAAAATGGGCCCTGCTGGTGTTCAAGGCACACTGTGGTCTTGGGAGCACTGGGCCTCAAGGAGAGATGTCTCTGGAGGGCACCAGTGCCTCAGATGAGTCACAGCCAGGTTTCAAACATCCTCTGGCCACAGTAGGACCAAACCTCTGCTCTCTTGTGACAGATCTGACAGAATCCACCCTCCACCTATGAGAAAGTTGTGAGACCATGCTCAGAAAATCACCACCCTCACCCCCAAGTCCTCAAATCAATCCTTTAGATCTTCTCTGCTCTGTTAACCTGTTTTGCTCGTACTCAGTGCTCAACTCAGGGAGAGAATTCTATTTTGCCTATTCCATATCTACTTCTGAGTCTGTTCTTTTCATCTGACTCAGGCTGTGAGCGTTTTCTATCTTCTGAAAGTGCCAGCCAGACTTCCGCCTGATTTAAAGTTAATCTGACATGCTCCTAGGTTTAACTCAACTCTCTTCTTCCTGATGTTTATTCTTCTTCTGGAGTCTGATAAAAGTGAAGAGACGGAAAAATGAAATCTCATAGGCTTGGGAATTAAATGTAAGAGTGAGAAAACTGAAAGCCAGCTCTTTTCAGGTTCACCTCTCTTATGGTCCCACACTCCCTTTCACCTAGGAAACCTGCAGAGTGTGGTAAGCTTGTCGGGTTCTACACGGATCCTTCCTGATAGTGGGGATGTTCAGGAGGGCCTCATGAGAGAGTTTCCATCCAGCGCTGTTATCAGGGAAGTAGGTGGGGTCTTAAGAGACAAAGCAACATGGCATGGGTTCCATCTGGCAAAGGCTTCCAAGCTGTTGTGGGGCTTCCCCTTCTACAGTTTCTCCCCAGCATGGATCTTCTGATGCCGGATCAGGTGTGAGCTCCCCCTAAAGGATTTGCCACACAGATTACACACATAGGGCTTCTCTCTGGTGTGGGTTTTATAGTGCTCAATGAGGGCTGACCTGTGCCGGAAGGCCTTGCCACACTCGCAGGTGTAGGGCTTCTTCCCGGTGTGGATCCTCTGGTGCTGAATCAGTGCAGAGCTATGGCAGAAGGCCTTGCCACACTGACAGCACTCATAGGGCTTTTCTCCAGTGTGGATCCGCTGGTGCTCAATAAGTGATGAGCTCTGACTGAAGGCCTTCCCACACTTATGGCACTTGTAGGGTTTTTCACCAGTGTGGGTCTTACGATGTTCGATGAGGTTGGAGCTCTGACTGAATGCCTTACCGCACTCTTCGCATTTGTAAGGTTTCTTCCCAGTGTGAATCCGCTGGTGCCGGATCAGGTGGGATCTATGACAGAAGGCTTTCCCACAGAGGTCACATTCATGGGGTTTCTTTAGGGTATGGATTTTTCGATGCTGGCTCAGGCCTGAACTCTGGTTGAAGGATTTCCCACATTCCTTACACTGATAAGGTCTCTCTCCCGTATGAATTCTCTCGTGTTTTCGGAGGCTGGAGCTCCGGCTAAAATCCTTCCCACATTCCCTGCACTCATAGGGCCTCTTCCCAGTGTGGATTTTCTGGTGTTGCGTGAGGGCTGAGCTCTGGCGGAAGGCCTTCCCACACTGCCGGCACTCATAGGGCTTCTCCCCAGTGTGGATGATCTGATGTCGGAGAAGGTGAGAGCTCTGGCTGAAGGCCTTCCCACACTCACAGCACTCATAGGGCTTCTCACCAGTATGGATGACCAAGTGTCGGAGGAGGTGGGAGCTCTGACTGAAAGCCTTCCCGCACTCACGACATGCATAGGGCTTGGCTGGCTGTGGGGATTTATTAGGTATATTAGGTCCTGAATCCCTCTTGCCTGCTTCTTCATGATCACATAGACTGGGCTCTTCTCTGCTGTGGATTATCTGACATACACTGAGGTCAGATTTCTGGAGGAAAGTTGTACCAAATATCTCCTCATCCTGGGGTCTGGCTCTCAGGGGAATACCCTGATGTTGAACAGGGCTTGAGCACAGTCTGAAATTCCCCTCATAATCCTCACGTTCCATATCTTGCTCCCCAAGAGGGATCTCCTTGTAGATAACAGCCATTTGTTCCAAACCTCTTTCCTGAAGAAAAGGGTCCCCCAGATCCTCCCCTGGGAAAAGCTCTTGCTGCATCTCTAACCTGTCCTCAAACACAAAGGTCTCACCAAACTTGGTTGCTGGAGAAACCTCCATTGTGAATCTGGTGTCACCACCAATGATTGTATGTCTTTAAAAACACTCTTCTTTGGGCTGCACTTTTTCCGTGCTAAATCTATGGTGGAAAAGAACAAAGAGTATAAGACACAATCTTAAGATGATCCTAAATGAGTTAGAGCCAAATTTCACTTACCAGAAACAATTACAAGAAAGACAAATAGACACAATCGAGTGCCACATGCTGGTATCTAGACTGGCAGAGTTGAAGGTATTCACAAAGGTGGGCTAAAACAGGAAGTGGAGTCATTGTGGAAAAGAGGGCAAGCCTTCAGCTACTGGATGATGATGACACTGCGGGTGGGTTTTGTTCCTTCCCTCTTACATTAGGGTAAGGTCACCACTGGCAGGCAGAACCCTGCGAGTTCACCTAGCCCCTCTCACTCTTACTCCACCCAGTCGGCCTGTCCTCCCTGAGGCCACACAAGGGATCACTCCCCTCTGTTCTCATTGCCACTGAGCAGCTCAACCTTCACTATGACTTCCCGAGATCTGTTCGACACTTGCTTCCTAACCAACTATCTGCCTCCAGCTCTACCAGCTTCTCTGGTCCACACTCTACACTGAGGTTAGAGTCAAGCACACAAAGCATAAGACTAATCGTGTCATTTGTCTTCTTAAAATCTTTCAACACTCCAACTTCTTCACAAGGGCCTTCAAATCTGGCCCTTCTGGGCCCATCTCCTATCTCTCTTTCTGACACACTAACCTCTCAGCTCAACAATTCACTTGCACTGCTTTTTGTCTTCTCCTATAAAGCCCTTCTCCTATTCTCAGAGTGCCACTTGCTGTCCTTCCACACTCAGTCCAAATGTCCCCTTTTCTCTGTACCCTCAGACTCTTGACCATCTCAGGCATGCCCCCTTGGTGACCTGAGGTACTAGCTGTACCCTGTCACAGCACTCACCACCTTGCATATTTATAAGACTATCCCCACTGTTAGCTTCCCAGCTCCCTAAAGGCAAGTACTATGCTTTCTCAGTGTGAAATCCCCAAGCCCAAGCACAACACAACCCCACAAACCAGCTGTTGTTGAGTAAATGATCCAAGAGAGAAAAAGCTATTTGCCTTTGTGTTACAAGTGATTGTCACACATCTTTGTCTTTTTTGCCAAAGAACACATTTTTCAAATAATTGTTTAGATGTAAATAAATAAAACAGACAAGAGCAGAGCTGCCCCAGTGGAAGGACAGTATTTTAGCAGGAACAAGAAAGGAGACTAGAACATCCTATTCAGCATTCCACCCCACTATGGTGGCCCCTAAGGGAGCCCCTCAGTGTTCCACTGAGATACTTCTGTAGTAAATAAATAAGAAGACCTCAGATGATGTGATGATAGCAACAACTCATATTTATTGAGCACCTACTATGCATTAGACAGTACTAGACAGTACTAGAATTTTCAGAAGCACATAGGATTTAATCCTCAACTCTGTCTGAAGGTATTATTCTTCCCCTGAAACTTAGTAACTGTATAATACTAAAAAAAGTAAATACAAAAAAATCAAACAAAAAATACTAAAACATACTAAATTAATCAGAAGAGGCACAGTGGAACTGTTACTTGGAAATGATTGGTTGGTTTTTGGGTTTTTTTTTTTTTTAATATTCCAGCCAATAGAAAGGCCAAGTGTGAGAAAAGAACAAACTTAAAATATTCTCAGAATTTCTTTGACTGGGCTGGGGAGTGTAACTCACTGATAGAGCATTTGTTTAGCACGCAAGAGGCCCTGGGTTCAATCCCCAGCATGACACCAAAAAAAAAAAAAAACTTTATCTCTTCAACTCTTACCCTTCCCCTTCTCTTCAGCAGCCCACAGTCTCCAACCTTATCAACCAGTCTATGCTTTTTGACCTCATCAAACCCAGTAAACCCTCTTTTTTCACCCAGGTTCTCCTCTTCAAGCTCCACCCCCTTCTCCATCTGGCTCAGCCCCTCTCTCTCCCTAGTGGGTCTAACTATGGGTACCCCTTGAACTCTCTGGTCAGCACTATATTCCTCGCCTCCTTGTCCTATGGCAACTGGCCACTAATTCTCAACCTTCCCTGCCAATTCCTCCTAAGATGTTAAATGCTGCCAACTATGCATGGCGGCACGACAAATCTGAGTTTCCAATTTCATTTGGGAACTCGGCACTCAGCACCATCATCCAATGACCTTCTTATTGCCAAATCCCTCTCTTCTCAGTCCTCACCTTCTCACCCCATCTGGAATTGCTTACCAATGTCTCCTCGTCCAAACCGACATTTTAGAGGTTGTAAATTGGCAGCGCGGGGATCCTGCCACACAGACACGTTTTGTTTGGTTCTTCAAGAGTTGAGTTTTTCCTTAGTTGACAATATTTAAAACCAAATAGATTCTGGCTTTCTCTTGAAAAACTAGAAGATCTGACAAAATGGGTCCGCTCTTTCACTACCCTGTGGCCTACCTAGTTACCTGAAAGTTTGGAGCTTGCCCCCATCCTCCATCCCCACTTTATTCCTTTGGTTCCTGAAAGTTTTCTTCCCAATTTTCATGTCTTTTGATTCCTTCTTGAGATCTACGGATTGCAATTCTTCCTTCTCCACCCACCTGTTAAATCCTATTTTCCAAGGTTCCCTTAGCGGTTTTCCATCCCCAATCTGCAGCCCCTACACACTGAAGTCACCACTCTAGACAAAAAGTTGACAATCCTTCATCTGTCCGCAACAATGTGTTAAATTGTTTCTGGACCAAAAATCCGAAGGTCTGGAACCTCGTGCTTCACACCCTTCTCAGGGCCTTCCCTAGCTCCTCTTGCACAGGTCATCCCATCCTGCAGGTAGCCCCCAGGACCTGGGCACCGAGAAAACCCTCAGTGCGATCAGGGTTTCCTAGCTGGGGGTGGGCAAGCGGCCGCAGACCCGGGAGGCGACGTGGCGCCCCTTCAGGCTTCGCACGGATTGGGGACACCCGCACCCAGGGCCACCGGAGGGACAGGATGATAGGCTGACTCGAGTCTTCCAGGCGGACACGGGGCCACTCACCTGGGCCTGGGCGGGGCCAGTGCACCTGGGCCGGGGCGGAGCCGCAGGCGGGAGGGGCGGGGCCGCACCGGAGTTGCTCCAACCCGAGGTCGACGCGGCCTCGCACCGCAGCCGCTGCTGCAGCTGAGCCGGCGGGGCTGCCTGAGCACCTGGAGCCCCGCCCCCAGCCCCGGGCACTTCCGGGACCGCTCTAGGCCTCGCGGAGGTCCCGGCGTCTCGGTGATCCCGCCTGCCCAGCCTAGCTGTTCGTAGAGGGGTCTGGAGCACTGGGATAGGAGAGTCTCTCTAGACTGCGCAGTGACTGTTGTCCCTAAAGCGTGTTCTGGCCTTAGGGAAAACAGTTCGGCGGGAGCGCAGAGAAGGAAACTGAGGCTGGGAAAGGCCGATCTAGAGCCGCAGGCACCTGGTGCACTTGCCCTGGGGCTGGATGCAGGACAGAGACTACCAGGGCCTTAGGGTCTTTAGGAGAAGGGGAGGGAATTCCCAGAGCTGTTGACCCGCACAGACCCAAGGGTCCTGTTTGCATTCAAGGGTAGACAGGGTCCTGCCTGCCCTTGTCTCTCCCACACAGACAGCGATTGAGGGGGTGGATGAGTGAAGGGCCCAGGAGATGTCTGAGAGTGTAGGCGATGCCAGAACCCTAGAGCCCAATCCAGTGCATCTTGGTGCCGACCTCCAGAGACAAGGCGTCTCTATGGAGCACCAGGATGTTTGTTTTTGTTGTCGTTTGCCAGTGCTGGGGATGGAACCCAGGGCCCTTATACATGCTAAGCAAGCACTCTGCCAGCAGTCTATATCCCCAGCTCAGGGAAGTCTTTTTGAATATGCACAGGCCCCAGTCCCACACACTTAGCCCTGTTTCTGATGGCAGGACTTGTCCCTTCAGTGAGTTTTCCACCCCTTCACCCCTAGCAACTCCTTATGGTTGCCTATGGGAAAGCCTCCCCAGGACACCAGTAGAACACACTGTCCCTGAGGGAAGAGATGATGCCCCTGCCAACTGTCCACCTGCCTTCAGTACCCTCAGCCCTGCCTCTCAGGTGCTTCTGAGTCCCCTCCCTGCCCCAACCACCCATACGTACCTGCCTCCCTGCCCCATCAAGTATCAACAGTGCCTTGTACAGAGTCTCCAGGAGAGAAGAGGGAGCTACCCCTCCCCAAGCCAGCAGCCTGAGCTCCACAGAACCAGCCACCCCAGACCTATGAGCGTTGAACCGTAGTCAGCCATGCAGAGCTGACAGTGTCAAGGGCTTCTTCCTTTTTCTTCCAGGGCCTCAAGTCACCGGAAGATCAGGTCACCAGGCTGAGCCCCTGGGGGTTAGGGGCAAGACTGGGCCACTTCCCCAGGGATCTCAGGTGCTTCCTGTTCAGTAACAACCCACAGAATCCCCACTTTTCACACTCCCAGATCAACCAGGATCTCACAGTCCACACAATTACTGTTGACATGTTAAATGTTATTAACCCATTTTACAGAAGCAAGACTCTGAGAGAGGGCTGAAGGTCAAGGACAGAAGTAAGAGGCAAGGGGGAGACATTCATCCTATCCCCCACCCCTAAATATCAAAGCCATAGGCAACAGAGCAGTAGTAATCCGCGTCGTCCTCAGGCTGAACGGGGCTGATGGTCAGAATACAGGCATTGTGTAATGTATCCTTGGCAGCTGAGAATCGGTCAGGAATATCAGCAGGCCGATGGTGATCCTCCTCCGAATGGTAGTAGAGGAGGAGGCGGGGAGCACTGCCTGGCCGCTGCTGGTACCAAGACACACCGTATTCACCAATGATGGCATGCTGGGGGCTGAGTGTACAGAAGAGTTGAGCCACTTGGCCTGGGAAAACCAGCAATGCATCCGGCTGGACCAGGACTGGCTGAGAGACTGAGAAATACAAAACCACTCAGGTGTGGCCTGGGCCCCTTCCCTCCCACCTGTGCCTAAGAATGCTTGGTCAGAGCCCAAGGTCATGGAATTGGCCATGTATGGGCATGGGAGGCCTGGTTGCTTGTGACTTAGGGTGCCCTTTCTAGACTTCTACTTCCCTCTGCAAGTGAGGACTTTGGAGTTAGTGACCCCTAAGTCACTGTTAATATCATGTCCCCATGAGTTCATGCACATAAGAGAGCCTTGTTCTCAAAAATGGGACTAGAGTCCTTTGGGTCCTCCTGTTACCCAACCCCCTTATTTCTATGGATCCTTTTCCCTCAGTCCGATAGGTGTTCCAAACCCTGGCTACAGTCCAGTCACCCTCCCTGACCCCCCCCCCACTTCCTTGACTTCACCTTGCATCAGCGCAGCCTCAGGCCATTGGACATTGGGGACTTTCCCAAAAGTAATGTTAGCTTAGAGGCCCTGTGGGGTAGGGACCAGATTCCCCTGTGAAAAACTAAGGTGATCAGCTTTAGTCTCCTCAGAGACTCCAAAAAAGGTCATAGTCCAAAAGTCCAAAGGGATCATTCACATAGGGAAACCAAGGCCCATACAGAGAAGTGACTTGCAGACCTCGTCTGGAGCCTACCTCAGTGTCTCTCCTAGGATCCTCCCCACTGTCCTTCTTAATTTGCTTCCTTTCCAAAGCTTTTTTGAGACAGTGCCAACACACCCCCAGTTGAGACAGGCCAAGGGAGGGCTTACCTGCCAAGAAGGCTCCCATCAAAAGAAGGATCAGGTACCGGAGGCAGACCATGGTCAGAGCAGGGAGACAGAGAGAGTCTGCTAGGCTATGCTCCAGGTGCTTAGGGGCATAGCCTTGGGGAGGCTGCTGCACCACAACAGGGCATGCAAATCAACCCATTGACTGAGGAGGGGTGTGGCTGAGGCCAATGCCAGGCCCTGTCTTCCCAAATGTCGAGGTCCTAATACAGGGCCCTTGGGAGATCAGAAGCCAGGAAGCCTTCACCTGCAGTTATAGTAAGAAGTTGGAATCGGCTTTTTGTTTTGTTGTTCTTGTTGTTGTTGCTAGACAAGTGCTCTACTGCTTGAGCTACACCTGGAGCCCTTTTTGCTTTGGCTGTTTTTGATATAGGGTCTCACTTTTTGCCCAGACCTGGCTTCCTACTATTTATGCTTCCTGCAGTACCTGGGAAAATAGACAGATGTCAGCTTTTTCCATTGCCATGAGGTCACTTGAACTTTTTGCCCAGGATGGCCTGGAACCATCTCAGCCTCTGGTGTAAATGGGTAACGGGCACGATATTGCACCCAGCAATTGGTTGAGATGGAGTCTCACAAACTTTTTGCCTGAGCTGGCCTCTAGTCATGATCCTCCTAATCTCTGCCTCTGAGTATAGCTAAGATTACAGTGTGAGCCACTGGCACGCAGTGGGATCTGCTTTTTTTTTTTTTTTTTTCTTTTGGCAGTATTGGGATTTGAACTCATGCTTGCTAGGCAAGTGTTCTACCACTTGAGTCACTCCACTAGGCCTGCTTTTGTTTTTTTTTTCCAATGCTTCAAACATGCTAGGCAAGTATTCTATGTCCCAAGTCCCAGAATCTGCTTTTATACTGAGGTACAACTGGCATACAAATCTTAAACATACACATCTATCTATCACACACACACACACATACACACACACACAATCGCCCCTAAAACCTCCATCCTGATCAAGATGTAGAGCACAGGGCTGGCAGAATGGCTCAAAGTGGTAAAGGGCATGACTAGAAAGCATGAGGCCTTGAGTTCAAACCCTAGTACCACCAAAAAAAAAAAATAGAATGTTTCTATGTTCCCAGAGGTCAACATTCACAACATTTCCAATCAATAACAGCCTTTACTGCAGCTATAGTTTGGATCTACAATGGCCTCCAAAGGCCCATGTGTTAAAAGATTGATCCCCAGTTTGGCACTATTGGGAGATAGTGAGTGCCTAGTGGGATGTCTTCAAGTCAATGGGGGTGTGTCCTTGATGGGGATAGGGGAACCATGGCTCCTTCTTCTCTCTCTTTTGCTACCTAGCCTGCTATGAAGTAAGTGGCTTTGCTCCACCTCACACTTCCCACCATAACGTTCTGCCTTATCATAGACCCAAAAGCAATGGGGCCAACCAACCATGAACTGAAACCTCCAAAACTGTCAGCTATAGTAAACCTTTCCTCTTTATAAGTTTATTAACTCAAGTGTTTGTTATAGTGACAGGAAGCTGACTAACACAATCCCAAAGGGAACCATCATTCTGTTTTATCACTTTAATTTTATCACATTATCACCTTAATTTTGCCTGCCCTAGAAACTCTACTATAAATGGAATGAGTGTGTGTGTGTGTGTATATATATATATGTAGTGTGTATGTGTGCATGTCTGCTTGTTCTTTCCAACATTATGAGTTACCCATGTGTGTGCAGCAATATGTAACTCACTTTCATAGCTGTGTGTAATTCATTATGTGAATACACCAGAATTAATTTATCCATTGTCTTGCATCTAGGAGCTTTCCAGTCTTTAACTAGGACCAATAAAGCCAGGTTGCCAGCATCCCTGTGAATGTCTTTTGGTGCACCTAGGTTATTTTTTCTGAAAAGATTCCCAGGAATGGAGTTGGTGAGTGGTAGGGAAATGTGTACGTCTAGCTTTAGTAGACACTGCCAGAGCTTCCAAGGGAATTGTAGCGTCTGCACTCCTTCCAGCAGGAAACGAGTTCTAGAGAGTTCACATCCTTGCCAACCTTGACATTCTCGCTCTCTTTCACTTTCCAAATAGAAGAGAACTGACGTGATTTTTGGGGGGCTTGTATTCCAGCTTGTGATCTTAACTGCATGACTTCAGACAAGTTACTTTTCTGTGTGCCTCATTTTCCATGTCTGGAAAATGAAGATGAACACATTGGAAACTGGAGGGTAGTAAAGATGCAAAGACAGGATGTATTGGCTCAGTGATGAGTCTACTGCATTTATTAAGTGCAATAGTTTGGATCTGTAATGTTCCTCAAAGGCCCGTGTGTTAAAGGTTTAATTTGGCACAACTGAAAAGTGGGAGATCTTTTTAATGGCGAGGGTGGGGAGACAGACTAGCAGGAGATCTTAGGTCCTTCAAGGGACATGCCCTCGAAAGCGATAGTGGGAATCTATCCCATTCCTAACTCGCTCTTTGTTTCCCAGCCTCCATCAGGTAAGAAATTTCCTCTACTACACGCTCCCATCATGACGTACTGCCTTGCCACAGGCTCCAAAGCAAAGTGACCAATTCCTCCAAAACTATGAGCCAAAATAAATCTTTTTTCTTTTAAGTTGATTGAGACTGTAATGAGAAGAGGACCAACATATTAAGCATATATTTTATTTTCTATATACTGATGTTTGGGGCCTTGCTGAGCCCGAACAGGCTGACCTTCCCAAGGTTATCCAATCTCAAGAGATAGTAAACTGCTGTGTATTTTTCAAGTGCAAGCCAATTAATCTCAAGCCCACACTCCCAACCCCCTTCATTAGGTGTTCTCACAATTAACTTATATTAATCATCCCAGGACCAGTTACCAGACAACTAGGAACAAGTCCTCCTAAGAGTTGAGTTCCTGGAACTCACTGAAACTGATGAATTACTCACACCACTGAATCCTAAACCTGCCTACCCTGCCTTGCCCATTCTTTCCTGCAGAAACCACAGTGAAGGTTCGAACCCACAGTTCTTCCTCTGCCTCTGCCTTCTGATCAATGCCGGTCCTTCTCTGTGTGACACCATGGTCACACACCTCCTCTTCTTGGGAGTTGTAATAAACTGTCTTTTCAAGGACAATGGTCTCCTCATCTGTTGTCCTCACTATCCCTGAATCATAACAAAACAATTAAAATAGTGTGCTTTCATTAACTCACAGCCTTAAGCTCCCTTGGGAGAGGTTATAAAGCCCCTCCAGGGGTCCCCTCCATTCCTGACACCTTAAAGATCCCATGACACTCAAAATAAAAGGCTTCCTCTTTGGTGGCATTGAAAACAAATCCTTGGAACAGCAGAACCTGGAGCTGCAGCCCCAGGCCTGGAATGCCCTTTCCTTCCAGAGTCTGGGTCTAGGCACTAGAGTGTCCACAGTTAGAGCTTTCTGAGCTGTGTTTTGTAGGATATGGGTCACCAGAAAACTACTCCATATTTAAATAAATTTGGAGAATGCTGCCATCCAAAGAAAAGTGCTTATCTAGGGGCAGAATGGATCAATGGTGAGCTTCATGAAGGACCCAGTCTTCCTCTCACCTTGCCATCCAGAAATCTGCCTGCAGAGGGAAAGACAAATGACCTAATAATGGGGGCACCTACCCAGAACTCTGGCTGGAGGGATCTAGTAGAGGATGTGGAACAAGGGTATGAAACAGAAGCAGAGAGAGGGAGGGAAAGCAGTAGGTGAGAAGGAAAGAGAAAGAATGAGGAAGAGACAGAGGGGAAAAGTCAATTAAAGGATAGACCCAGATAAAGAAGAAAAAAAAAAACCCAGATTAAGTGTGAAAACAGAGAGACAGAAAGAGATGAAAGACAGAAGAGAAAGGAAGAGAAATAGGCAAGTGAAAGAGACAAGGGATGATGGCAAGAGCTGGTGAGAAAGCTGAGGTGTAGCTCAGTGGGAGAGTACTCACTTAACTTGGGTTACTGATAAGAATGAAAAGAAGGAAAAAGAAGAAAAGGAGGATCAAGGAGGGAGGAAGAAGAAGAGAAGAGAAGGGCTGGTAAGAGAGACTAATGAGTAGTGAGAACTAACAAACAGGTGCTTGTGACCTGCTATGCATCCAAGAGACCCAGAGACAAGAAGATAGAAAGCAGAACAATGCAAAATGGTGAGGAGACACTGGAAAACATATTAACAGTTTCTTATACGGTTAAACATACACTCACTAGATAACCCAGCAATTCCTCTTGTATTTTCTAGACTGGAGAAATGAAAACATCTGCTCACACAAGAACCAGTAAGGCAAATGTTCATACTGGCTTTGCTTATAATCTCCCAAAACTAAAAATAAACCAAAATGACAGCAGTTGAATGGTCCAACCACCTGCAGTACAGACAATGGACCACTCCTCATCATAAGAAGGAACTATTGATGTACACAATAACTTGGATGAATTTCAAACGCATTGTGCTGAGTCAAAGAAGCCAGGCGCAATAGACTCCATATTGTCTGATTCCATTTGTATGACATTATGGAAAAGGCAAGAACAAAAAAACAGAACAGTGGATGCCAGTGACTAGGGTAAACTACATCAACCTAAATAACAATTAGAGAGAGATTATCTAAAGATTAAGTTTATTTGGGAATAGAATAATATTGCAATGGGAATACCTGTGTTTATAGTAAACTATAATACCAGCTTATAGTAAACTATAAGCTATTCAAGGGGGTTGAGGCAAGAGGAAACTTTTAAAGGTGAAATGGATTACATAAAATATTTTGAAACAATAATCCTTGGCTACAAGGATCAATAACAGGGGTGGCATGAGTCCAAGATTCAACACATAGTTTTTGGGCAGACATCCTTGCAGAAGTATTTGAGTAAGGTTGTGGTGGCCTTTGTACAAGGTTGTGGTTTTGGCAGAACCTTTTGAGTGGCTCTTGTTATCAGACATATATGCATGGGATTCCCTCCTCCTGTAACCTCCCGATTTTAATTATTTGGGGCAGGGAAAGGGGTTAGGGCTTGATAAAAAGTGATTTAATTTTTATATAGGCAACTTTCACAACACAAAGAGGCACAAAAGAATTGGGGGGTGGTGGTAATGGAAATGTTCTGTATTCAGTCTGTGGTGGTTGATTTTATTACATTAGTCAAAATGAAAATGCCAGAGGTGAAGTTGTGTGCCTGTAATCTCAGGCTGGGTGGGACAAGAGTGTCATGAGTTCAGAGCCATCCTGGGCGAAGTTAGGGAGACTGTTTCAAAACAAACAAATGAACAAATTAAAAGACAAAACAAAGGGCTAGGATCCTAGCTTAAGGTATAGAGCACTTGCCTAGCTCTGGGTTCAATAAACACACACACACACACACACACACACACACACACACACACACCTGAAAACATAGAAAAGGGTAGATTTTACTGTATGTAAATTATACCTCAATAAACTTTATTAACAAGAAAGGAAAAGAAACAAGGACAGAGGAGCTGGAAGGCTGGGAGAGAGGAAAGATAGCACAGGAAGAGGACCTTGAGTTGGTAGAAAGCCTGCAGAGGTTGGTGAGATAGTGACACACACACCCTCTCCAGCCTGGGCGCTATCTCTTTCTAAAGGGGGAATGTGGTCTCTGAAGCTGTCATCCCACATCCCTGGACCTCCCAGTTTGGAGACCCCACTATGGGCCAGGCCAGAGCTCCGCCTCAAAGAATGACTGCCCAGCTTGGTTCTGTTACCCGGATACTGGGGGATAAAGCATTTCCTGCCTCGATGTCTGGGCCGCTCCCACTGCCATGGAGACCAGCTTGGGAGCTGGGAGAGCTGCTCTGGCCCAGCAAGCAGCAGAAGGAAGAGGAGGACAGAGGGTCTTGGACTAGCTGACTAGGTGGCTAAGCAGGGCCCTGGGCCTCACAGGTACACATCTCCGCAACAGGGTGGAACCTCGGAGTAGATCTCATTCCCAGGTTCCTTCCCGAGTGGGAAGTCAGGAGTCAGGGAAATCAAAGCCCCTTGATCTGGCTTCTCTCTGCGGCCATGTTTATCACGGTGATGTTTGGAGGTAAGTGGGGTCCCGGGTCCCGGAAGATGAATGGGGGAAGGGCACATCCAGGGGGTGCCTCCCTCCGCCCTGCGGAAGCAGCGACTGAGAGGAGGGGTGCAGATGAGGGAGGGATGGACGCTTGGAGAAGCAGCTCTGAGACGAGGCAAAGCGAGCGCCTGGAGCGATTCCCTTGAAGGGGAACCCGGGCAGGGTCCTGCCTGGGCAATTCACGCGGGTTCCTCCCAGCTAGCGCCCGCCATGCCACCGTGCAGCCCGTTTTTAAACTGCACGGTTTCCTCGCCATCAGTTTGTGGTCCTCAAGCTTCAGCTTACATCAGACATCCGAAGATGTAGTAGTATATTCTCCACCCCCCAGGCGCAAAGCGGGTCTACCGGGAGGTGGGCCTGGCGTGGAAGGTGGGATTAGAGCGAGGGGCGGTTCTGGTGCTCTGGGGCGGGGTCGAGGCGGGGGGAGGAGGGAGAAGCAGGGAAGGAGCCCGGCCAGTCCCTCACCGGAAGCAGAAGTTGTGGCCCCCATCCCCCATATCTCAAGATGGATGGAGTGGTCTCAGACGCAGTTGGAGTTGCCCGGGCAATTGTGCCCGGGGCACACTCCTAACCCCATAGTCTTTGTTGGATCTTTGGGGAGGGGAGAGATGGGAAGGAAAGTTCCCTGAATGGGGAGAAAAGGGATCCCACCCACTCACCTCTGCCCCTCCCTCACAGCCGGCTGCTGGGAGCTTGTGAACCCCTGGTGCAGCCTGGTGACTCTCACTGCCCACCTGAAGCAGAGAGGGCAGGTTTCCCCAGAAGGTGAGGAGACAAAAGGTCTGGACAGAGGGGGCTGAGGGTCCCCAGGCAAGAGCGCCATCCCCACCCAGCCTCTCTATGCCCTCCCAGCAACCATTGCCCTCTTGGCTGAGGATGGGCAGCTGGTGAACCTGGGAGAAGACCTGGAGACTTCCCCCATCCCCAACATGGGTAGTTCCCTGCTGGAGGAACGAGGGACCTATGTCCTGGTGCACATCGTTAGTAAGTGGGGCCCAAGACTCTCTTTTGCAGCTAAATTGGATTGTAAGGGAGGCATAGACCACCCAAGACCCTTTCTCACCACCCACTTTGTCCACCTAGTCCCAACCTGTCCCTTACCAAATCCTTATCCTAACCTCAAGCCTGGGCTAGCAAACAGATCCAGAAAGGTAGGGTGGAGACCATCAGGCCAGTCAGGGGTCCTTTGTCCTCTCTCCACACTCCACAGTGGGAGAGAATGGAGCCCCCACCCGCTATGAGTCCCTGTTGGAAAACCTGGAAGACCAGTGTCCAGAACTGGCAGGTGAGTGTCAAGAGTAGAGCTGGGGGAGGGGGCAGGGAGCACATCTCCCCAGCTTTCACCAACAGGCTTCCTGGGTCTTCCAGAGGAGCTGCGCTGGCTGTCAGGTCTCCCTGCCACATGTAATGGCCGAAGGAGACGCACTGGCACTAGACGTGGCCACCAGGAGCAAGCCCCCACTTCAAGGTCCCGAAGAATGGGCTCCCTGCAGTCCAGGACCCGTTAGCTGGAGCCAGGTACAAAGGAGATACGGACACAACCAGGAAGTTACACGGAGAAGTGTGACCCCTTTCCTGGAGAACAGACTCAAGTATATGCTGAGAAAGGTAGACTGTCAGTATCAACCCCATACTTGTCTACTCCCAAGATGGAACACCTTGTACTCAGAGCAGGTCCCAGGATGCCATTGGAATGTGACCATCCTAAGGACAGGGATACCCTCAGTGCTTAGGAGCCTTGGAAGGTGTGAAACACAGTGCTCAGTGAACAACTGCTGAATGAACTCAGGGAACGTGGTGCAACAGGGTATGATGGAGCAGGCATTGAAGAGCCTACTCCTCTGTTCTGCTCCACTTTATGACCTGGCACAACAAAGTCAAGTGGCCAAACTGGACCTGGATCCAAGGGGGCTGGTCCTGATCTCAGCCTCATGTGATCAGCTAAAACAGACAGCAGCTCAGCAGGATTCCTCTTTCAGAATCTGGAATTACTGAGAAGTTGCATCAGCAAGAGGGGCAAAGTCACAGACAGATGTAAAGCCCTAAAATGCTGATGCAAAGAAAGGGATTCAGAAGCAGAAACAAGAAGGGTGGAGAGGTTGGGCGCTGGTGCTCATGCCTGTAATCCTAGCTACTCAGGAGGCAGAGATCAGGAGGATCGCAGTTTGAAGCCAGCCCCAGGCAAGTACTTAGAGACCCCATCTCAAAAAATCCCATCACATTAAAGGGCTGTAAGAGTGACCCAAGAGGTAAAAACCTAGCAAGCATGAGGCCGAGTTCAAACCCCAGTGCCACCAAAAAAAAAAACAGAAGTGTGGAAGAGGTAGGTCTCCTGTAGTTGGAGACAACAGGTTTCTCCTGGGACTCCAGCCCCCAGAGTCTGATACCCTTCGGGTCACCTAGTAATGACTCCACATTCAGCTGTCCAAAGTAGTCTATCCTTGGCTACCCACATTGCAGATTTCAACAAGGCTCCTCCTGCCCACCCAAGATGCCTGTTTAAGATGAAACACAGCACACCACAATGAACCCACCTCAACAGCCAGGATACACAGGCCAGGTGGGATAAGAGGGCACACAGCAGGCTGTGATCTAAAATAAACTCTTTAATTGCACATTTGCGTCCTGTGTTATTCATGGGTCAAGAAACCCCCTCCTTACTCCCAGGTACAATCTGTCATCATGGTCTGGCCGTCAGTGAGGAGATAGGGTGAGTGCAAGGCTATGACCCAGGACTCTTCAGGGTAGGGAGCTCAGACCTGTGGAAGCAGCAGGAAGCATAGGCTGGAGGTCAGTCTGCAGGTGCAAGGTCTGTCCCTTCCAATCCCCATCTGGATCAGGGTCTAATTGCTTACCATGGTTGTACTTGCACTGCTTCAGAGCCTCACTGAAGCCCTCACACAGGGTCAAGTCACTCTGAGTGGTCGAGCAGTCCAAGAACTGCTTGATCTCATAGGAGCAGGGCCCCATCTGTAGAGGCTGGGGGGCAGCACGGGCAGGGGCCTTGGGAGACATTGCAAGAGGCAGCAGGGTCAGCTCAGTTCACATGCAAAGGTGGGTTCCAAAGCTGGAGGCTGCCTACCCCTTCCCACATCCACAACCCAGATGCCCCAAAGGTCAGTCCCAGGAAGGTTGGATGACCCAGTGCCAGCTTGCCCCTGTCTAGCCTGTGCTGTTCTATCTGTGAAACAGAGTGAGCCAGTAGCCCTCGAAAAGCCAGTTAACCCAAGCAGACAGGGTTCCCTACTCACTCAAAATAGGTATGATGAGCAGGTGAGGGGAAGGGAGGAGAACGCTCCAGAAAAGCCCTGTAGTCTTGGCAAGGACACTGAGTATGAGCCCCACCCCAACAAATTCTAGAACCTTTCTGGCTTAGCCACACTGATCTTCATGACCCTTGACCCAGCTGCTAAGTCACATTTGGATTTGGCTCAGGGCTGGTAAGGAGTGATGGGGCCCGGATGGGGAATAGGTCATCAGGGAACAGGAGCCATGGTTATTGGTTGTTCTTCACCTTTGAGTCCAGCAGCTATAATACTGGACCTGGGTGAGAACAGGGCTTGGAAAATTCAACAGTTCCCACTTTCTTCCACTAGGGTTAGGTATCCTTGAGCAAGTTTCTGAGCCCTTCTGTGTCTGGGTTTTCCCCATCTTTAAAGAGCTGGTTGGTGTCAGGGAACCTGCTTTCAAGGGATGTGAGGAATGGGCCTGAGGCAATTCTGATCACTCCTCACTGGACAATTAAGCAGTTCCCTATGTGGCCTTGAGTGAATCCTGCCTCAGTTTCTCTGGGCCATGCTCACCTGCTGGACAACAGGCTGGGCAGGTTCCGAGCCTCCCCCACTGAAGGCTCCGGTCAGGGCGCTGCCCACGACATGTCCCACAGCAGAGCCCACGGCTACCCCAGCGGCTGTGGATGCCATCTGCGCCATGAGGCCAGGCTGGCCCGACTGGACAGGAGCCGGGGAGACTGCTGAGGGCGGTGGGTGCGCAGGAGGGTGGGCGGCAGGGCGGCTGCAAGCGTAGAGGAAAATATGGTTAATACTGTCTGGATGCAAGCCAGAGGCCTGAGGGGCCTGAAGCTCCTGGAAACGAACCCTCTACTCCAGGGGTGGTGGATGACCCCGGTCTTAGACACGTGTTGATGCACCTCTGCCCCTCCCCCCTCCCACAAAGATGGCGCAGACGCAGCCAAGGTCACTCTGCGGACGCCCTTGGGGGGAGTACCCACGCTTCCCTTGGCCCCTCCCCATGGGACCCCTCACACCTGGCTGGCCGGGCAGCAGCGCTGCGGCTTCCCCGAGGCATGGTAGCAGCGGTTGGACACGAACGCAAGAAACAGCGACCGTAGCAGCAGATCTATGTCGGGGACAAACACCGCAGCGCTTGTCACATTGGTCAAAGGGGCGGGATCTTGGGCGGAGCCTTATTGACACGCCCCCATTGGGGAGTGGCACTTACCCCAACATCCCACCGTCACCATTCTCAGTACCGCGCACCGCTTCCTTCCTACACCTCCTGGTCTTCCATGCCCGCCTCAACTAGAAAGGGGGTGCTGCGCCCTCCCTGGCTCTAGAGAGCTTTGGGGACACGGGCCAATGTCAAAAACCGCCTAAGGCTTAGGCAGGGACAACAAGGCCAGGTCTTTCTGTTGGAAGGAACACAGCAGAGCTCAGGGAGTAGAGTTGGGAAGTTGTCGCTAACCTTCCAATCAAGGAGGAGAAAGGGAGGCGACAAGCTGAGGCCAGCCAGGGAGGGGACCGGGAAGACCTGCAGCGACCCGTCCCCAGAATCCCCGCTAGGGGGCGTTCCAATCCCTCTTTAATTCTCCAGGCGCCGGCAACCTGCAGTAGTGCCAGCTGGGGCGGGATGAGGCCCCTCTCCGCCCGGCCCTCGACTTCGTGCTACCCCAGTGGTCCATTAAGCCTGGCGCCCTGGGTTCCTGCCCCCGCGGGTGCAGCGCTGGACGCTGACAGCACTTATGCGACATTCAAGCAATATGCCCATCCTAAGGACTGGAACCTGAGTGCCTAGAGGTGTTTGCTCCACGAACACAGGTTCGGAACCCAACCCTTACGATTTTAGCACTTTGGTTCCAGACTAAGGTGAGGCTGGAGGCCTGGATTTAGAATGACTCCCTGCCCTTCAGGAACTCAGTTTTTATGGTGTTTCCTGTGTGACTTTGCCATGGCCATATTCTGACCCTTAGGTGGGGACAGGGAAGTACCTTGACTTCCCTGGGGAGGTGGCCACCTGGCAGTGGGAAATCACCAAGAGAAAAACCTTCAAGGGGTTGATCACTAATGGGAGAAAGTCCTCTAAAGTAAGCGGGAGAAGGGACAAGGAAAGACAGCCAACTGTGTTGGGGCAAGCACAGCCAGTCAGATGACTTAGGTCTGACCCTGCCACCATCCAGTATAGTGCAGAGCTATTCTGAGCCACACAACTGTGCGTGAAAATCATGCCTAGTCCTGTGTTCTTATATCTATTCTTTTCAACTAGTCTGTGCAGCAGGGCCCTCCCCAGGCCAGTCTTCAGTTTTCTTCTTCCTAGATTGGGAATCACCATCCACCTGCAGGACTGGCTTCTCAGTGAGGTGAGCATGTAAAGGATGGGCCACTCCCTCCTCAAAGACATGCCAGGTCTGCTCCAACCCTACTCCTTTGCCCATGTAATCTCTACTCACCAGATTCCCACTGACCAAAAGGAACTATCCTTCCAGGCTTATCAAGATCCTTCTCCTGTGATCAGCCACCCTGCTGAGTTCACTATTTACAGTAATAGTAATAGTGGCACCCCATCCCAGGGCCTGCACTAGGAGTGGTTTTGACTTGGGCTCTGGTAGCTTGTGATTTCAGGTTCCCCAAAGTACCCCTGGAGATACTCAGGGTAATTTAAGGCACATATACAAACGAATGCTTAATTTTTAAAATGTTATATTTTCATATGTATCAGAAAATGTGTATGTGTACATATATGTATCATCAAACTCATGATTTCTTGGGTTGCTTTAATATTGCTAAGATGAGGCTGAGGAAGGCACTGAAATGCCTGCCTTAAAAAAATGAGGCACTTTAAAGAAAAAGGTTGCTGACCACTAGGTATAAAACTCACTGCAGTCTTGCCTCTCCTTGCCCTCCAGGGGTCTCTGTAGAGTCTTCCTGGAGAAGCTGTGAAGTGCACCTCCACCCCCATCCCCTTCTCTTTCTTGGCCTAGGCTGGGTGCTGGCAGCCTCACTTTGCAGCAACTCAGAGCCCTGTCTGCCAGGATGGGAGAGAGCCACTGTTTAGATCTTCACTCTGGAGGGTTGCCCATTATGGCGAAGATACCTGGTGCAGTGGGAAGACCTGTCATCATGAAAGCGGGATGCACAGCAAGATTGGGCACCCCTTCCAATCGGATGGGTCAGGAAGATCCCTTCCAGCTTGTGGACACCACTCCCTCTTTTGATTCTCTCCTCCTCTCCTTCATGTCTCAGATAGCTGGCCCTGAAAGGCTAGGAGGAGCCCATCCGGCCCTGACCAGGGGACAGCCTGGACCCCAGTGTCCTACTCAGACATGCTCTATGGCTTTTTGGTCAGCCCCTCCCCACAACTGACTAGCTGGAAGATCAACTGACCCCTTCTCTTGCCTGCTGGTATGGAAAAGTCTGGCCCTTTGCCTTTCAACCCTCAGTTTCCCCATCTATAAATTGTCTCTGATCTGTTCCAAGATGAGGGGCAGACCAGCCTCAGTCATTTTAATAGCTTTTTCCTCATAGGAGCTATTGTGCCATCTTTCATCTGGATCAGCTGGGGGCTCTAAGGAATGGGGTAACTTGTCCTTGGGTAAAACCACCTGTCACAAGCTAACAGGAGGTCGGAGGTCAGGCCACCAAGAAGACCCTGCCGAATGATGAGACGTCTAAAAGTGGGGGGATAGGGATTGGGAGGAGTGAAACTCGACTCCTCTCTGACTCTCTCTCACCATGACGGAGGCCCCAAACCCGGCCGATCCAACCTCTCCTGGGCCACCTCCCCCACCCAGGCGGCGGCCGCCGGCCCCGAGAGTTTAGAACAAAAGGCGGCGGGGGGCGGGCCCGGGGTGGGCCGGGGGCGGGGCAAAGGCTATAAGGGGCGGCGGCCCGGCGCGGCCCAGCAGGCCCAGCAGCCCCGGGGCGGATGGCTCGGGCCGCCTGGCTCCACTGCGCGGCCCCGCGCGCCCCCCTGCTCCTGCTGCTGCTGCTGCTCCCGCTCCCGCCGCCGCCGCTGCTGGCTCGGGCCAGGCCGCCGGTGAGTGCCCACCGCAGGCCTGCCGCTCCGGGCACGCGGGCTGGGCCCATTGGCAGAGCTGAACCCCCGGGGGGCGCCCCGGTTAGCCTGGAGCAGCCTTCTGGGTCCCCGTGGGTATGAGAGTGAGCTTCCCGTCCCTGGCGGTGTGCAAGTGGAGCCCTGCGCAGGTTTCGCGCAGGCTGGTGAGGCACGACTCTGCGCAGGACTCACGCTCCTTCCCAGCTTGGGGACCGGCACCTGGTGCCCAGCCCCGGATGTTGGGGTGTGTGTTGGGAGAGATAGCAGAGTGAATAGTTACAGAGCCCATTATTCATCACAGGAACAAAAGCGGAACAGGTCCCAGGCGGGTGTCAGCCTCCAGGTGTGTGACACCGGTGAGCGCACCTTCAGATGTACAGGGAGTTGGAGAATAAAGAAAGAGCTGAATAGTGGGGAAAATCGAGTGTGAACCTGGAGAAGATGCCGCCCCTTTGGGCACCTGCCGGCTGGCAAGTTTGGGGAAGACTTGGAGCCAGGAGAGCATGAGTGTGAGAGCCTGTGTGTGTGTGTGTGTGTGTGTGTGTGTGTGTGTGTGTGATCATCAAGTGGAGGTACTGCAAGTGGTTGGCCGAGACCCTCAGAGGGCAAAGGGGTAGGGAGAGAAAGGAAAGGGAGAGAATGTGTGCAGGAGAGGAGAAGTTCCAGGTAAGAGAGCAATGGTGTGAAGAGAGGAGGGACTATAATGGGCTGTGCGTGCCAGCCTGTATATATCCCCGTGGCTGCACCGTCTCTTGAGGCTGGGCTTGAGGCACCCATCCTAGGAGTGACTGGGCAGGACCTGGGGCCAGAGCCCAGACCACTACAGACAGATCCACCCCCTGGTTATCTCACCCACTCAGCCCCACAGCTGAGCTGTCCAGCCTACTAACTTAGGCAGTGATGACAGCGGGAGGGTATGACAGGCAGATGTTCTGTGACTGGTCCCTCTGACCAGCCACACTGGCTCTGCCTGGGCCAGCCTTGCCTAGCTGTGACTATGGGAGCAGAAGGAGATAGGAAGATGGGGTAGAATGGATGGGGAACCTGCATCTTCCCCAGCCTGCTAGAACCTGAGCAGTCAAGATTCACCCTGGGTAGTGGTTGAATCCATGGATTGTGAAATTGGAGAAATCTGGGTTTGAACCATGGGACCCGGGGTGAGCCCTCTTTCCCCTCAGAACCTCTCCCACTTGACCTATAATGAGGAGATGGGGCTGGAGGGGGTAATAGTGCCTATTACTGGGCATTGAGGATTAAATGAATTGATGCCAGGCACACTGGAGACACTTGTCACTGTAGCTGCCTCTCTTGATTGCTTATGCAGGGTTCAGTGTTGGGATTGGGAGCCAGCCTAGAATGGGGTCTGAGCTGGGCTGTTGTCTGTCACTCTTTAGACACACAGGGAGCATTTGGGGTTGCCTCCAATGTATTTATCCCTAGACTGCCGTCAGCAGGGCCAGAAGAGCTCTGTAAATATTTATCCATGCAAGTTCCCAGCTTTCAGGATTGATGAAAGCCCTGCAGCCCAGTGGGACAAAGCTGCCTTCCTCTCTGGAGCCTGCAGGGAGGGGTGGGAAAGGGAAGATTAGTCAGAAGTATGAAGATGAACCTGTATGCTGATTGGCTGTGTAACTTTGGCAGTTTACTTGACCTCTCTGAGCTTCAGATGGGCATGAAGTGGCATAGAATGGCATAGCATAGTGATGCTCCCTGTCTTCCTAAAGCCTAACAAAGTGCCTTCCTCTCAAGATTGCCTCCTACTGACAGCAGAAAGCATAGCTATAATTAATTATCCCCAAGGGACCCAAAGAAAACTGAGGCTCAGACAGGGACACAACTAGCCTGGCCTTAAACAGTGATTTCCTGGCCCCAGCCCAATCCTATCTCCTCTCTTCCAGGTACCTACCATCATCTGGACTGGAAGTTGGTCTAGAGGCTAACCTTGAGCCTCTGAGCTATGCCAGGGGACTGGGTTAGCCAAGACATTCCTTGAGTGTGTCTGAGGCTGTGAGTTGGTGACTGCCAGACCAGAGAAGGGTGAGGCAGAGTGAGACAGGCTCCTTCATGGCACAACCAAGGAAGGCTACTGGCTGAGGAGGAAGAAGCACACTAGAAGCAGAAATGCTTCTCAGGAATGTAGGCTTGGGAGCTAAGCCAAGAGCACAGGGGGAGGAGAAGGGGAAAGCTCTAGAGGGGAGGCATGAACCCCAGGTCTGGGCCCAGCTTTTGCCTGACTTGCTTTGTGACCCTGGGCAATGTCCTTCACATCTCTGAGTTTTGGTTCATCCTTTGGGATATGGGGTGATGCCTGCTCCCCAAACTCTCCAGGGCTGTAGATGAGGCCAGGGAAGTCTGTGTCTACCACTCTACCTTATTAGATCCCAATAGTCCTGGGAAGACAGAGAATCGGGGGAGAAGAAATCCCCAAGCGTGGGAGTGGAACGTCTGCAGGAAGATAGATTGGGATCAAGTAAGAGCGCTTTTCTGAGCTAGATACTGCAGTGGGCATTACAGAAGGATGTCACTTAGGTTTTTGTGGCGTAATCCACATTTGATGGAGAGGAAGTTAAGGCTAAGAAAGGACAGTGAACTGCAAAGCATAGAACTAGATGTTCAGAACCTCACAGCTTGCCCTTTTAGTTGCACCGAGTGCCATGATCTTGAGGTATGGCCCTGTACTTGGTGCTTCATGGGGGAACAAGAGGAAGGGACAGTAGTGAGTGTAGGGTGTGTATATCCATTATCTTACCTCTCTTCGTGGCTGGTTGCACTAAATCTCACTGGGCAACAGAGGAGAGAGGAGATCTCTGGCATAAAATTTAGAGAGCTGGCAAGCTGAGCTCTGGGTTGTTAGGGACTCCCAGGGGATGATTACAGCTCTGCGCTTCCCTGAGAGGGTCCCCATACCCCTTTTAGGGTTAGGAGAAAGAATATGTTTCTTCTGCAGGTCAAGGGGCAGAAGGCAGACACATGTGGCTAGTCAGAGACCTGGGGTTCACATCCTCAATGTAACACTTTGGAATAGGAATCCACTTTATTGGGTAGGGATGGAGTTTCAGTGAACCCTCATGTGAAGTGCCTGAGAAGTAGCAAGTGTTTAACAACTTCCTGTTCCTTCTCCTTTGCCACCAGAGGTATGCAGCTTTGCCTGCCTCTGCTGCCCAAGAGGCCCCTAGCCTAGTGGTGGCCCTAGACCTGTGCCACCTTGGGCCCTCATCCAGGGGACAGGTGACTCAACCTTTGAAAAGCAAAGCACAAATGGGGGAGTGGGTTACTATGAGCACAGACAGTATGGTCCCTGCCTGCTGAACAAGTCACTCCCTTTCCTCATCTGAGAAATAGGGAGGATGACTGTGATGAGAGGTTCCAGGGGCTAGGTACACATTGGTGGAGTTTTGGAGAGAGTCCTAGCCTGCCATCGTGATAAGAATTGTTTTTTTTTTTTTTTTTTACGAGACTGGGGTTTGAACTCAGGGCTTTGCACTTTCAGAGCAGGTGCTCTACCACTTGAGACACACCTCCAGTCTATTTTGCTTTGGTTAGTTTTTGGAGGTGGTGTCTCATGAACTATTTGCCCTGGCTTGCCTCAAACTTCCATCCTCCTGATCTTAGCCTCTCAAGTAGCTAGGATTACAGGCATGAGCCTACTGGCACAAAGCAATAAGTACTTATAAAGCCCAAAATCAGCTGGAACCCATAACCCAGTGAGGCAGTAGTATGCCAGGAGGTAACCAAGAGGAAACTGGTCTAGAGCCTCACATTCCAAGTAGCTGCAAGGGGCTCAGAAGGACCCTTCAAGGTAGAGCATTCGTGGGAGTTGAATCCTCAACTCTGGAATCAAGAGTGTGAAGTACTGGGACCCTGAGCAGAGTCCTGGGATGCCTGGAGCCTGGGAGAGCTGCCAGAGGCTGAGGCTGAGAGCAGAGCCTGAGTGGCCCAGCTCCTGTCCCAAATATGGTTGTGGGGAGGCTGCAGCTGCTTAGATCACACAGACCCAGCTCAGACAGGTGCTGCCAAGTTTCTCAGTAAATAGCATGGCTCCATCTCTTTCCTCTTGCGCAGGCTTTTGTGCACTGTCCTGGACCAGGCTTTACCTTTGGTCTGGGACACCAGGGTCCTCACTTGACTCTGCCATGTCCTTGATGGGTGACCTTGTAGGGTCTGTAGACCTCTCTGAGCGTCTGCTTTTCTCCTGCATGAGAGCAGTGACTTCTGGGGACTTCCAGAAGAAGGTGGGAGGATACCGCTCAGGTCAGAACTGCCATTTGTGGTCCTGTGGCTTTCAGCAGTGTGGGGCTAGGTGTCTGGTAACTAGCTTCCTTCCCTGCACAAAAGGGGTAGGCATGAAAACTCTAGCTCCCACTATGTGCTGGCCTTACCAGGGTGTGAGCAAAATCTTCTCTGCTAGAAATCAGATCTCAGGTGTGTGTGGGGGAGTGTGGCTCAGTGGGAGAGCATGAGGTCCTGGATTCAATCCCTAGCACCCCCTTCCCATAGGAAATCTGACTTTGGTTACCAGGTGCCTGGCCCTGGGTTTAGTGCTGTACATGCACCACCTGTCTCATCCTCAGATAAATACTGTTGTGGGAAGAGTATCACTTCCATTTGTCAGGTGAGCAAACCAAGGCCACACACAACAGGGCTACAGCCCCTTTATGCTAGGGAAGGGACATGAGAGCATCCTGGGCAGGAGAAAAGGAAGAGTCTGTTCACATACCAGGGACCAGGTGTGTCTGAGTTTGCTGCAGGAGGGCAGTGAGGGGAGCAAGAGAAGCTTGTCCAGTGTTTCCTTGGATGCTTTTGTTTTCTTTCTTTTTTTTTTTTCAGTACTGGGGTTTGAACTCAGGACCTACATCTTGAGCCACTCCACCAGCCCTTCTTAGTGATGGGGGTTTCAAGATAGGGTCTCATAAACTATTTGCCTGGCGTGGCTTTGAATAGTGATCCTCCTGATCTCTGCTTCTCGAGTAGCTAGGATTACAAGTGTGACCCACTGGCGCCCAGCTGTCTTGAAAGCTGTTTGGGGTCCTCTCCTTGGTGTGTTTGGAGAATGCAGTTAAGGGTTCATAGACTCATGCTCCCCCTGACTCTGTGCATCCCCATCCAGACCTTGCTGGCCTGATCAGGTGAGATGGGTGATACAGTGTAGGAAGGGAGGAGGAAGTTTGATGCCTTGGAACAAGGTGTTAGGAAACAAGTCAGCCCAGAACCAAAGGACCCTGCTACATGCCAGCACCTCTTCCGGCTCCTCACTTTGCTCAGTGACACAGTGGGTCCAGGTTGCATATGGCTGTGCTGAAGAGCCACATTTCAAACTTTGTGCCATGAGGACCTGAGGGTTCACCTGATTCTTGGGTCCTCTTTCTTGCCCAGGATACCCATCATCGCCACCCTGTGAGGAGGGTGCCACAGCCCCGGCATGCAGCTTTGCCTGCCCCTGCTGCCCTGGAGGTCCCCCAGCCTGCTGGTGGTCCTAGACCTCCACGATGTGGCGTGCCTGACCCACCTGATGGGCTGAGTGCCCGGAACCGTCAGAAACGATTTGTGCTGTCTGGAGGACGCTGGGAAAAGACAGACCTCACCTACAGGTAGGTGCCAGAGGCCAGGGGAGCAGGACTATGTGTCCATCTGAGATCCTGCCACCCGTAACACCGGCTTGCTGAAACACATGAGAGTTACAACTACATAGCAAACAGACTTGTGGGCCCAGTGACTTCCAATCACCCATGAATTAACACCCTGAAACCCTGGCTTAGAGCCACTCACAGACTGATACCTTCCCACAACACAGGGGTAGGGCCTCTGTCATCACTAGAAGTCTCAGCACATGCCTGAAGATAGGTGTTCAGTTACCCAGAAGGCTTTACTGGGGACTCATAAGAGCCAGGTCTGGGACTTGATGGTGACTGAGACCAAGACACAGCCCTGAACTCTCAGGGAGGTGGCTTGTTCAAGTCTATCATCCTAACTCGGCCTTGTGCAGGTGGAAACCATGACAAGCGGGAATAGGTCTCCTCACTGGGTGATCTGGAAGGCTCCTGGGCAACTAATGAGGCATCTGAGATTTAGCCTAAGAGAGAGGAGTCAAGTGTCATATAGTGTCGGAGCTGACACTTTGGGAACCTTAGAAATTCCTGGCTGAGGAACTGGGGAACCTTGATAAGGCTTAGGGATCAGGATATCCCCATAGTAAGTACAGTCAGGTCTTGGAACTCCTGGTCCTGTATTCATTCCACCAAATCTAAATCCTGTGTACATCTAAATATATACAAAGATGTATCCAAGTGGCCAGGGAGACCCGTTCACTCTACCTGAGGTGCAGAGCACACCTGGCTTTGGCTCTCACATACACACACATACTGAGCATCCAGGGGCAACTCTTAGCTCCTCAGTCATCAGGGGCTTCCCTGCCCCAGGCCCAGGCCCCTCTACCTCCCCTCAGGATCCTCCGGTTCCCGTGGCAGCTGGTACGGGAGCAGGTGCGGCAGACAGTGGCAGAGGCCTTACAGGTGTGGAGCGAGGTGACACCACTTACCTTCACCGAGGTGCACGAGGGCCGTGCTGACATCGTGATCGACTTCACCAGGTGAGCCTTGGCCTGGGACCCCTCTGGGTACAAACCACTCTACCACCAGCCATTGACTCTGTCTCCATTCTCCCACAGGTACTGGCATGGTGACAACCTGCCATTTGATGGGCCTGGGGGCATCCTGGCCCATGCCTTCTTCCCCAAGACCCACCGAGAAGGGGACGTCCACTTTGACTATGATGAGACCTGGACTATTGGAGACAACCAGGGTATCACTGGAGACCCATTTTCCAGATTGGGCAACTGGAGATCAGAGAGAATGGGAACTTGCCAAAGACCTGAGCTAGGGTTTAGAGCTTAGGTGACAGGAGGTGGGGGATTGCTAACTCACCTCCCTTTTCCAGGCACAGATCTGCTACAGGTGGCAGCTCATGAATTTGGCCATGTGCTGGGGCTGCAACACACAACAGCAGCTAAGGCCCTTATGTCTCCCTTCTACACCTTCCGCTACCCACTGAGCCTCAGCCCAGATGACCGCAGGGGCATCCAGCACCTATATGGCCAGCCCCGGCAGGCCCCCACCTCCCAGGCCCCAGCCCTGGGCCCCCAAGCTGGGATAGACACCAATGAGATTACACCATTGGAGGTGAGGCTGGGACGGGTGATAGAACAGGAGGCGAGTCCCTATTCCTGTTCCCCCATATCCCTGCTGGCTTCTGTAGCTTCAGTGTGGGTTTTTTTACTGGCCCCTCTTTCCCACCCTAGCTGGAAACCCCACCTGATGTCTGTGAGGCCTCCTTTGATGCAGTCTCCACCATCCGAGGCGAGCTCTTCTTCTTCAAGGCGGGCTTTGTGTGGAGGTTGCGTGGTGGCCGGCTACAACCTGGATACCCTGCGCTGGCCTCTCGCCACTGGCAAGGGCTACCCAGCCTTGTGGATGCAGCCTTTGAGGATGCCCAGGGTCACATCTGGTTCTTCCAGGGTAAGTGGAGTTGGCGGTCAGCTTGAGACTTTCTGGAGCCAGGAATGTCATAGCCAAGGGTATCAGTGGACAAGCTGTTTCCCAGAGACACAATGGGCAGGGAGAAAGTGCCCTGAAGGCTCAGAGCCAAGGGGAGAGTGCAGCTTACACCTTGGGCACAGCTGGGAATCTCCCAGAAAGTATGGTTCTTGAGGTCAGAGTAGCCTTGAAGGCATTTCATACTGCAATACTGCTGCATGTTGGTGCATCCAACCCCAGAGCCATCCATGGGGGGGGTGGTTCTAGAGATGAGGCCTTGGGCTCAGGGGTGGTGAAATGACTTACTTGAGGGTGCAGCTTGGAAAAGGGAGAGCAGGGATTTGATCCAGGTCTGGTGACCCTGGAGCCTGTGCTTTTAACTCTCAACTGAAAGAGATGAGAGCCTGGAGCATTCCAGGAGGCCAGACCTCATAAATAAAGGTGCAGCATGGGAAACCTTCTTGTGGGTTCCCAGGTAGTCAAGGACCTGCTGCAGCAGGGGGCTAAGGCCCAAGGAGTAGTCAGCAGGCATCTGTGACAGGCAGCCCTCTTCTGTGCCCTTACCACATGCAATTTTACAGAGCTTTTGCTGCTTGGCTTATCCTAGCTGGCCCAAGTGTCCTTCTGGGGTGAAGGGGTTAAGCAGGCATTATTGGCCCCCATGTTTTATGGACAAACTAAGGCTGGGAGAGTCCCTGGTGATGGCTGAGCAGATCCATTGTGACTGGGCATGGCAATGGTGGCTTGGTAGCTCCTTGTATCTTCCCTTCTCCTACAGGTGCTCAGTACTGGGTATATGATGGTGAGAAGCCAGTCCTGGGTCCTGCACCCCTCTCTGAGCTGGGCCTGATAGGGTCCCCAGTCCATGCTGCCTTGGTCTGGGGTCCTGAGAAGAACAAGATCTACTTCTTCCGAGGTGGGGACTATTGGCGTTTCCACCCCAGCACCCGGCGTGTGGACAGTCTTGTGCCTCGCCGTGCCACTGACTGGCGAGGGGTGCCCTCTGAGATCGATGCCGCCTTCCAGGATGCTGATGGTATGTTAGGGGTAGGGTGGCTGGTGGGGCATGGTACAGCAGCCATATCTCCCACCCAGTGGTGGCTGGTCCCCCTCAGGCTTACTCTAGGAGGCCTGGCCCTTCATCACAGGAATGGGATGGCAGTGTTGTAGAGGAGGAGACTGAGGGCAGGAGACATAGAGGACTTGCCCATATCCCTCAGCCACAGCCAGCAAAATAATAGCCACTGAATACCAAGGACAGATGATGCTCCAGGCACAGCACCAAGCTCCTTACATGTCTCATGCAATTCTCAGACCAACCTTCTGATGTAACTCCTCTTAATGAACCCAGTTTCCAGAGATGCAAAAAGAAGCTGAGGCAATGAGGTGGCTAACTGGGTCCACCCAGGTGGACCGTGGTGGAGCCAGGACTCCCATCAGACAGTCCCTGCTTCTAACCATTGAGCAACCTAGTCTCCCCCAAGCACAGAGATCTAGAGCCAGGCTGGAACTCATAGCCCAGTGCTCTCTCGCCTGCCAGCACTCTTTTTGTTTCTGTGTCTCCCCACAATGAAAGCCACTGGGAAAGCTATCTGAGGGTGGCCTTGAGCTATGGGTCTCCAGGATGCCCCTCTGTAGTCTGGTTGGTGAATGTGGGGGTAAGGGGATGAGAAAGTTGGTAAGGGAGCAGGAGTTGTTTTTCTGAGAGGTAGGAATTGAGCTGAGACTTTAGGCACCTGCTGGACCGGACCCTGGTACAGGTGGAAATGCTTCTGGGAGGGGAAACATGGTTCTGGAAGGTCAGCTCTGGAGCCTGAAGGTTTCAAAGACCTTAGCAGTGGTCAAGGTCTGCCCACCCAGCCTTCCCCCGTGCCTGTCCTTGGTCACAGCCCAACAGGCAGGCACAATAGTGTCCACTCACCCAGACCTGACCTTCTCTCTTCAGGCTATGCCTACTTCCTGCGTGGCCGCCTCTACTGGAAGTTTGACCCTGTGAAGGTGAAGGCTCTGGAGGGCTTCCCCCGCCTTGTGGGTCCTGACTTCTTCGGCTGTGCAGAGGCTGCCAACACTTTCCGCTGACTATGGCTTGGATGGCCACTTATATCAAGATAGAAACCCATGGCCATCTTTGTAGCTCTGGGCACAGGCATGGTACAGAGCACATGTCTCCTCAAGGGGGTAGGGTAGGGGTTCAACCACCATGACAACTGCAGGGAGAGCCGTGCTGGTCATGGTCACCTGCCAGCAACTATCTCATACTGGGCGGGAGGCTTTGGCATTACTTAAAAGTGAGGGAGGTCTCAGGGGCTATTCCTCTATGTAGGTCATGGTCAAACTTGAGTGCCCCAGGTCTCCATACCTGGCCCTTAGGGGGAGACCTTTGCAGGAATGGGGAAACAACAGTATCCTGTACTCACCCTATCCCTGCTTCAGAGTACTGGTGCTGGAGCTGGGGAGCCAGGGACTCATGGCCTTCTGCTCTGGCCAAGCAATTGGGCCTCAGGGCAGGGCCCTTTCCTGAAAAGTCAGTTCTGGGTAGATGTTTGGATCTGGCTGGTGATCCTAGAGATCTGTTCCCTAGGATCCAGGTCAAAAGGCCCGCAGCCAGTTGGGGAGGTTGGCTGCTTCCTCCTGGAGACCCTGAGCCCTGGAG